GGGAAAGAGAAATAATAATTGGATACATGAACTTATTTAACAAAGAAATACAGTATTCACATTGTTTTTAACAGGGTATTCCACGAAGGGAAGAGCTTATACCTCAGACCTTTGAGGCAGATAACATCAAAACGGCCTTCGATGATTCTCCCTATAGAAGAACCAAGCCCATGAAGGCCAGCATTTTTATCAATGTTGCCTTTCTTATCATAAACCTCTAAAGCCTTGATAGCATCATATGTCTTGCATACAACTGCCAACATCGTCCTAGTTCCTAAATAATCACACAAGCACCTACATTTTGAAGTATCATCAGTTTCAGATTACACAATAACCATATTGTATTTTGCAGTCGTTTCAGAAATAAATAACATGTGAATCTTAGTAATTTGGAAATAACACAGTGAGAATGAGAACTAACTGGCTGAGGTTCTGATCATCAACTTTGCCAAGCTTAGCTACAACACCCATGACATCTTTGGTAAAAGGCAACTGAGAAGCCTGCATACCATGATTGGTTTCGAGCAGACTTAAAATTCCAGCAGCTGTTTTTTCATGCCGAATGATCTGCTCGTTGGCCTCTTCACTCTGATGATTTGAACTATCATTCGTTTCAGTTCTAGGAGCCATAGATGAAAAATACCTGCCGAGTACAACTGGAAAAGAAAGAAACAAGTTTCATATGATGTTCTGCAATCACGGAAAAGCATACGCAGTTGAGCAAGTTCTAGCCTGAGAATTCTTTCTTCCATCTGAAACCATTTTAAGTTCAAACACTTCGCGACTGGTCTCTCTGACTGTAAAAACCGTAATTGGAAAAAAAAAAAAATTAATATTACTTAGAGCAACATCTTCAGGCTGAAGGACCTTAAGCCTGAAGTTGTTGCTTTTATTAATATTTTTTTTTAATTACGGGTTGTTACCCTGAGTCTCACAGGATGCAATGGGAAGACATCATGCTTAGGACTAAGAATCTTTCATCTTTCGGATTGAAATCATGCATCACAGAAATTATCTACTCAAGTATACAACACCTAAACTGCCATAAATTTGCATTTAACATTCAAGAAACAGCGGGATCTCTAAAACCCTGAATAATGTGATGACCATTAATATGCTGCACGGGAAAAAAAGTAAGTATACGAACCTTGCAAATCGAGGATTGACTCATCCAATTTGTTTTTCTGAGCCTTGAGAAACCTTATGTTGTCCTCGTGCTGCTTGATCTTCTTACCCACAGCACGGAGGTCGTCTTCAAGTCTCTGCAAAGTTCAGAATGGAACTTAAAGATGACTGAACATTTTGTCACGCACCGAGAAATGGGCAAAGACAAGGAGAAAAAACCAGAGCATGAAGTTAAACATGTGTCCCACACCTTAGTATTGAACAGAGCAAACTCCACATGGGATTTCCCTCCATTCTTTGTTTCATGCTTTGCCGAGGAAGGAGAGATTGTCGCATGATCTACCTGCATCATCGTTGACGGCTCTTGGAAAGCCAATGGGGTAGGCTGAAATGAAATATGCAACAGAGACAAAATCAATCCTTCATTCAACATATGTCATTCAGAAATTAACTAAATCTTTGAAATATTATTATTAATTTTAATTATAATCAGTTTTATTACCATTCCTTAAATTTAATTAAATGATTTTTTCCTCCACGTGTCTTTCTCACCTCTCTCCCACACTCACCCACTTTATCCCCTTCTTCAATTTTCATCGTTTTTTTTCCCCAGAAGATCTTCCTAAAATCAGAAAAAAATCAGATTTTCTGATATTGCATCGCCTGACGCCTCGTACAAGGCGCGCCTTCTTTCAGTATCTCGCCTTGCCTCCAAGTCTGGAGGCGATTTACTGATTAGAAGAGGAACTTAGCCCTAATTCCGTAAAGTTTTTTTTGTTTGTTTTTTTTTATCTAAATTAGTTGGAAAACTAACCCATAAACTGCAAAAACATACAAGCAAAAGAACAACTAATCACAATTCTGAACCTAAGCAAAGACTAATTACAATCAATGTCCACGCATGCAATCAAAAAACAAAACCAGCTTTTGGTCGCACGAAAATTTGGACGAAAGTGACCGTGAAAATGCCGAAAAGAAAAAAAAAATGGCCGAATGTACACGAGATTTCTGAAATTCGAAAGGAGGCGAACTGATTAGGAACAAGAAAGAATATATTCTCAGATTATTCAGATTTTCTTCTTTCCTTGGAATTTTCTCGGTAAACAAACAGAGCCAAGGAAAATCTGAGATTTCTACTGACCTGTTGACCCGTCGGATACATTGCTCACGAGCTTCACCTTACAGCGTTACCCTCACCAGAATCTCTTTCCTTCTGGGGTCTTGCCCACAGCTTTTTATTCTCTCTCTTTTTTTTTTTGCTAGTTTTA